CCTAAATTTGATACCTGCATGAAGCAGGTATCAAATTTAGGCGCAAATAGCTAAGTCACATTAGTGCATGTGTAGATGCACTAATAAGCATTAATGTGGTATGCATCAATGGATAGACATCATGTCAATGACACACTAGCGCATCTGCATGTGCGCTAATGCGACTTAGCTATTTGCACTTAAATTTAAGGTGCCTTAATGCACATTAGCATGTTCACATGTAGACATGCACCTAAATCACCTTACTGCACCTTAAGCAAAGGCACGTTAAATTTAGGTGTGTGTATATACACATGTAGACACACCCAGAGTGGCTCAAATTGACAAAGGCTCATGTATCAAATCACTCTAAAGAGGTACTGTAAAATATTCCTCACATTCAGAATTAATTTTAAGGGCTTCCTGGACCTATGAATAACATCATCCACATCATCAGAACGAGACTGTACCAAAAATACCTTGCTCTTAAAAGGTGGAGACATTACACTTCAGGGTTTCCTTATTTTTTCTATATATCAAGTGATAAATTAGAACTTAATGTAACTCTTACAGCTAGTAAAGAACAAAGGATTCCAGGCTAAGATGAGAACAAAGAAACAAGTTTTAATATCTCTATCACCTTACCTCAGCCACCAAAAGAATTCCATATTGTATAAACCTTTCGACTACCTCATGGCAAACTTGATATAACATCTGGCAGGGCTGGATGAAAATAAAAAAGAAGTATAGTAAAGTAATAAACAAACACAATTCTGTACAGTCCCCTCCCTTCCTGCTCAATGATACTGTTACGTGGCATATTGGTGTTTTCCCTTTTCAGCAAGTTCCTCAACTGTTCACAATGCCCCTGCCCCTACTTCATTACTGCATTTTTTATTCTTCAGTTGCACTGACATATGCTTCAAAATTCTAGGGCAGTAGGATATTTAAATTAGACAATACAAAGAGTATGAGAAATGCACATTCCTGTACTGGTAAGAAGATGGATCTGCTGACCAAACAGTTATTTTCCATCTTTCTATGATTTTGTTAAATGAATCAATACTAATCATTGAACAGCTTTTAACAAAAACTTCATAAATCTGTAAGATAAGATCTAAAAACTAAAAATTCCCCTACAGTTTAAACAAACAGTTAAGAAGCTTAGAACCAAAAGTGACTTCCTTCCCAGTGGTTATAATCTGGTAGGGAATGCCCAGCAGATTAAGGAAACAATCTGTCATTAAGTCTGAAGGCAGAATGAGCACAAGGTTACTAATCAGCTCCATTTCACAAACTGTACTGCTATCCTGAAGAAAAACTAAATGGTTTATGCTCAATTAACAAGCAAACAAAAAAAAGCCAAACATCCCATGGTGCACACAGTGAGGAGGAGGGTGTGGGGAAACAGAAATGCCTGCCAGCGTGAGAAGTAAATCAGTAGGGAAAGGACACCATTTCTCATGTTCCAAATAGGCATTTGCAAATAGCAAGGAAAAGAAGATTGGTTTTGTTGTTTTAAAGATATACAATTAATTTATAATGCTAAAGTTGAGATACCTGCCAGCAATCCTCTATTGGTTTGCAATCAAAATACATTATATCAGGCCATGCATATAATTGCTAATAAACGTTAGGAATGGCAAAGCATAACTATTGCAGTGTCCTAAAACTTTGTTAAATTAACCTAAATTCTGGAGGCCTGATTTCAGCTTTGCTTCCAGCCACATATGCAATGGCTCTGGTGGTCTTAATTTCATAGTTTTAAGTTTATTAAGGTCACAAAGACATCACACAGCTTGGCAGCATGATAGAGACTAGCAGGTTTTGTTTAGCAGAGGTCTGTCACTAAAATAGCAGGAAAGTTCCAGGCTCACTGCCAGTATTAGCAGTTTGTCATTTATAGAAGCAACAAGCATTCACTAAACATGCCTTCATATCCTCCAAGCATGTTGTAAGCACCATACCCACTGATATCATCTCATCTGGCTGTGAAACAAACTGGTAAACTGACTGGTAGTATCCACATCATGTTGGTTGGTTCATATGATCTGAAGTACACTACTCTAATTAACTATGTTAATTCAAATGTAGAGGCATTTTGTTGAAGCAAATACAAACAGTGGTATTTTCCTTCTTTTTATGGATGCCCCCACCCAGCCATGGATTGAATCAAAATAAAGTAAATATTAGAAAAACAGAAAACTCTCTCCGTCTAAAATAATAAAAGCAGACATTAGCAGAACAGACTTTAAGACATGGAAAATGCTGCAATGGAATTCACCTACCAGGGAGACAGGGCCTTCATTAGAAAGCAAGTAACACAAGCTGGCAGCTTTGCGGATCAGTTGTTCTTGGCTAATCATATTGGGAGAAGTACCATTGATTCCATTTCGAAGCCTTTTACTTTGTACTGCGTGAAGACTGCAGGCTACAGCAGACATGTGAACACAAAAGCAGTTCGTTTTCATTATGGATTTTCTAATAAAACAAATTTAAGCTTAATAACAACTAAATTCTGAGCTCTAAAACTGGAAATGATTAAAGCATGCAATTGAAAAGTCTATCAATTAATAAAAACAAAATTATCCTATACATAATATGATCAAACGAACCACTCTACTGCGTAACTGAACAACCCAGAATTCAAAAGATAACGTGAAGTAAAGTAAAAGATTATATATCACAGTGTCTAAGTTAAGTAAGGAAGCTCATAACTGGGATCTGGATCAAATTGTTAACAAGCATTAAGAATAGTGTGGAATACAAGCTGAAAGAGGAAGCTGCTAACCCATTCATGACCAGCTAATGAAAAGTAAAACAAAATATTATCTTATTAAAATATTTAAGATGAAACACAGCATTGGTCTGTAAAGTCAGATATCCTGCTTCTGGCAGTAATCAATACATGGATACTTTCAAGGAAGACTGGACAAAAAGGAACTTGGAACACATTCAACTATTTGTGCTTTGTGAACATGGGGGAAAGCACGGAGGGAATAAGTTTCTGACCCTAAATAACTTAATTATGTAGAAAGAGCTCTATAAAAAGAACAATAAAGCAATAATAAAGTTCTAGCTAGATTTGCTGAAATATAAACATATACCAATAATGGCTTCATTAATGAAGACGTGGAGTACTCCATTGCTGTAGAAGTTGAGTTCAAAGACAGCAGGGATAGTTGTGCTGGGAGTGATGAAGAACTCATTGTTTCGGCTGGTATTCGTGATAGTGACACAGTTCCCCAGCAGGTGGATAGCATGCATGACGACATCCTCAGAATTCCCAGAAAATCCCAAGTCAAAGTCACGGGCCAGGACCTCTTCCTTCATGGAGAAGAAGTCTTCCACCAACTTGGACAGATCAATTCCCTGAACCAGAGCCCCAAGGTTAAAAAAACAAGTTGTGCAAGACAAAATTTTAAAAGACTGGCTAAACTTACCTGCAGCCCCAAACACAGTAGATAAATCATAAAGGCATAATTTATCATCAATAATCTAAACCACAACTGAGTCTTTTCTTTTAACACAGATTTTGCTGATGTAACTCATGATTTTTTTCACCTCCGACCAGACGTGTGGACATAACTTAAAAGCCCACAGCAACTGCAGCTAGTGCAGGACGTGACTGTTTTGTTTGCTAAGTAGTTTATCGCTATAAAACCTTATCTTTTCCTTAACCTGGCTACTTTAGAGATCTCATCTTCTCTCTGTGCCCCAGTGTCATAATCACCCAAGATAACGTAGCTGACAGACCGTTTGCTTAATCGGCATTGGGCTTGAGGATAAGCATTTCCTTGACTGTCTAGTTTAAGAACACGTTAAACCAGGGGTGCTCAGCCTCTGGCTGGCAGATCCAACGTGACCCCTGAAGCTATCACAGATGGTCCAGTGGCTCCCCACTGGCTGGGAAATTTGGCAGTAGGGTAGCAGTGGCCAGTAATATGGTCACCCTCCCCCATCAAATTCCCAAACCCCAAGCCCATCACTGCCAGTTGCAGCCAGGCCATGCCTCCTCCTCTGCACCTGAAACAGGGCAAGGCCATACTCCCTTTCCCCCTCTGCATGGCCAAATGGTGTCCACTGCTCCATCCCCAATGCCAGATCAGAACATCCAACAGGATCTGGAAAACAGGCGGATGGGGCACTGCCCATGCAGCCCACCAGGGGAAAGGTTGAGCACCACTGGGTTAAACCAAGGCTTACACAGAACATTTTAGTTAGGGATGATCCTGCCTTGAGCAGGGTACGGACTAGATCACTTCCTGAGGTCCCTTCCAGCCTCACTTTTCCAGATCACTTTAACGGAAGCTGTATTTCACATGTTCAGATGTAGCTCAAAAAACACTCTTTTCCTTCAGGGTCTCTAGAGGAAAAGGGAACAAATGGTTTGAACTGGATGGAGCGAAAGTCCTAATTGGGAAGGATTCTACATGTTGGCCATTTCTTCTCATGTGTATGTTGTATACTTTCTGTCCCTTACATGCACAAAAAGCTCTGGATTACAGACGCAATGTATTTTTTTTATAAAAAGGAAAAAACAACTGTATCTCAGCAAAATTCAATAATTTTCAGTAATTTAATAAACACATGCACCACCATCTGGAATGCTTATTGAAGTATACTAGCTCAAATATATTTCACATATTCCTTACTTCTAAAACACTACTAAAATGCACACATCTTGCACCACTGCCATTTTGCAAGCCTGCATGAAAATAACGTATTGCAGCAGCACTGCAGTCTTACCTGCCTATGTCGGTAGAGCAGCAAACAGGCAACTATATGTGTTGACATCACAGCACATGACTTGTTAGCAGCTAGAAGCAAACACAATAAAATAAAGCTATGCTGCACTTTGTTAGAAATCAGGGAATCATTAGAAACAATACAACAGCCATAAATTAACTAATAATCATAATCAGCTATCACTGTAGGGGTCTTGACACTTCCAATGGGCTGCAGTCAACTTCAAGGAACTAATCAATAGGCAAGAAGTGAGAAGTCATTCAAAAATGCAACTCCACCCAATCATTAACTTTTTGCATGGTCTTGGTAAGTCACCATAATTCCCACTGACTTAAGCTGTATATAAAATATGGTCATCCTCACACTCGCCTTTCTGCCAGAGGTAAAGTATTCTACATGAAGCATTTCCTAAAATATATAACAACTAAATACCATTTTACATGCATCTTGGTGCACAAATCAGCTCCAGTGCTTATAACACTTACTTTCCAACACACAAAACCTGGCAATGTGGGATAAGCAGACAGGCTAATTCTAGTAATTCTTAAAAGCTTTTTGCATTCAACAGCTGTGTTTCAAGGAGCGACTTTTTATGGTCCAGGGGAAAAAAAACCTAACTATACCAAAAGGAGGGGGAGACGGGGGGGCACAAACTTATGGGCATAGCAAGTGAGCATTCCAGCACAGAAACTTAAACATCACAGAGGTTTCAAAGCAACTGAAATAAAAGTCCTGTAAAATGTCCAAGACCACTTCATAAGAGAAGGGGAAGAAAAAGAGGAGAAAAACGATGTCAGGAAAATTCATATCTGAAAAGGCAAAAACAAAGAAGTCTCCTTAAGACATAAAAAGAAACCAGACAGCCAAGCAGTGTATGAGGTTGGAGGACCAAAACCAACAGGCACTGTATGACTATTTGAATACTTACTGAACAATATATGCTCAGCCAAATTGGCTATCAACTGTCTTCTAAACTGTTCATTACTTATGTCCTTGGAGTTTGAAAGTGCAGCCTCTGTACCTTCTTCCACAACATCATTAGGCCTGAAGATGGAATGGAAATAATTTATAGTGTGAAATATCCAACTCTTGGCTAAAACTTTAAAAACCTAGGTATTTATGGTCCTCTACAAGCACTAAATGAACACACACAAAAAAGTGAAGACACTTTTAACAGAGAGCAGAAAACCTTAAAAGCACTCTTAAGTTCCATTACATCCCAGATAACAGCATCTCTATGTGTATTCTAAATTCCTTCCCCATATCCATCACAGAATTCTAGTTCTACTTTAAAAAAAGCAATACCAAATATTGACACTATACTCTACTGCAATTGACTTCTCCATTACATCAGACATGCCGCACAGCCTTTCCTCTTCAGTGAATATGGGCAACAAAAAGCACATTATGCAAACCTTCTCAGAAGGCAGTTTTCAGTCCAGCAGTTTTGCATATTAAAAAGTTTATTCAGACTGTCTCTAAACACAACTAATGGTTCCTCAGAGGCTTACATAAATTATGCATATTATTCAAATATACTAAAACTGTCTGAGAAAGGTAGGTATATGTCCACAGAACTATTTCATATTCTGAGCACAATTTAAAATTCTTGGGTATGATAGCAAGTAATATTGATAATATTAATAATAAGAGCAGAAACAATCATAATACAGCCCTGAATTAGAAAACGTCAGGAGGTAAAGGAATATTAAGTGTTTCACCTTGAAGTCATAAAAAAAAAAATCTAGTTTATGTGGAGAATTTAATTTATAAACTTTTTTCCTCAATCCCAAAAATGTTCTATAGAATTTAAAATTAATTAAACCTAGAAACATTCATGAGAAAGTACTCTAAAATACAGAATTTAATATCTTGATATATTTCTGCTCTAGAATACTATTTTTCTAATAAATTCTATGGCATAATGAAAAAAAAATCACTAAAATTATTGCCCGTAGTAAAATGATTGGCTTTGGTAATTCTTAATGAATTTTCAACAAGACTTGCACATAAAATATTCTGACTGCTCTTAAGGCTATAGCTGCCAAGCACTATTTGAAATATATTCTACTAAAAAAAAAAATACTCTCAACAAGTTTTGAGACAACATCCTACCTTGATGGAAGTAGAGCTGGTAACAGAGCTTGTTCCAAAGAAAGTGAAGCAGGTGCAGGTTTCTGATGTTGGCTGTCTACAAATTCCTGTAAATAGAAGAATTGTGGTTTGTATGTTCCCACTATTAGGTGAAACTTCCAATAGCCAACCTAGCTATCCCATTTGTATGAGAGAAAAGGAAGTCTTGCAGGAGAGCAAGTAAATTCAAAAGTGATTTT